AATTGAGACATAAATTTAACGTTAGATTTAAAACAGGTATTATACATAGATAGAAAGAATAATAAAGATTAGAGTAATGAAGAGAAAGAGAGAGATAGAGAGTGAGAGAGTGTGTAAGGAAAGTTAAAGAAATCGGTGGCACGTATCGAACGTTAAAATTAACGGGGCAATAAGAAAGTATCGTAAGGGAGTAAAGAGAAAACTGCGCACGCAGGTAATTTTCCACGTATGTACCGGTCAACAACGTCAGTAGGGTTGGCAGGACTTTTAAGACGCGTTATGGGTCTTCTTACGAGCTAAGGTCGTAATCAAATACTTAAAACTCCGACGCAGCTGTGGAACGGCTAAAAAAGAAGAGAAGAGAAGAGAAGAAAAAAAAAAGATGTTAGAAAATAGTAAGGAGTAACTTACTCAACAGAACCGTGAAAAATCGCGCCCTTTTTTTCGAGGGTTCCCTATGGACGATCGTAAAAGTCTTTCTCTCTTTCTCTCTCTCTCTCTCTCTCTCTCTCATTCTTCTCTTCTTCCTCAAACCCCCCTTTTTTCCGCTCACTCACCATTCTATATACCGTGCTTTTTTTTCTTCTTCTTCTTCTTCTTCTTTTTCACTCTTAAATAGTCGACTGGAAAATCTTTTCGCAGTGTCTCGTTCTTTATATAACGAAATACTCAACCAACCGAAATACTTAACACAGACCTACTACCTGTATAAATTTTACCACGTTAAAAGTAGGAAGGAGAGAATAAATGATATCCCGATTTTCTTGCAAGGATTTCGTTTAGTCGCTATTAATCGAATCGCGAAAAGGACGTGAAAGAACACATTGCTACCAATCTCGAGAAGGAGGAGGAGGAGAAGGAGAAGGAGAAGAAGAAAAGAAGAAAAAAAGGGGGAGAAGAAGAAGAAGAAGAAGAAGAAGAAGGGTGAGGTGTGGATCTGTTAAGAAAAAGTTGGAGCGACCGTTAAGATCGTAATACGGCAGTAATGCCCGTACTTAGCGGAGTATAAATAAGCGTTAAATCCGTGCTTAGGAGCTTTAATCTGTATTTTTCTCGAGATGCTTGCTGGAATACATTATCAGTAAGTATAAGAGAGAAAGAAAGACTTTATCGCGGTTGGTGATAATGCTTAAACCGAAAGGTCTAATATACTTGAACACAAAGCTTTTCTTTCTAAAAAAAAAAAAAAAAAAAAAACAAAAGGGGTTTGTGGTATTATTGTGTCAACCGTTCATTCCTTACCATCCCTTTGTTCTAAAATACTCGGAAATGTGTTGGTAAAATCGGATATAACTTATCGATGATTACTATGACGTTTGTTAAACCACAAATTGGAAATCGTCGGAATTCGATCTGATCTTTTTGGCAAGGTCGACTTTTCCTCCTTTTGAACGGGTGCTCGTACAAATGAATGTTACGACTTTTATTAGCCATTGACTGCTCGTTTCGTGGTAGTTTGTTCTTATCCATTTAGGTTTCTAACCCTCATCCTAAACTCAGAGAAGAAGAAGAAGAAGAAAAAGTAATTGGGTGTTACAAGAGACGATTGGATTTACTAAGACATAGGACTATCAAGTATAGTTTTCGTGTGATAACTTTTCTCTTCACTTTATTTTAACTTTTTTTTTTTGTGCTTTTTTTTCACTTTAGTATTCTAGTCGCTAACGACTCGTCACCGAAGCAAAGGATTGTTAACTGCTTCTGGGTTTGAATTCTCCCAATGGATGTTACAACACTGCCGTTTCCATGTGGATAGTGAAAGCTTCCAGGAGGATGGGCGAGAGGGTGGAAAAGGCCAACGTCGAGGGAAAATTGCTAAGCAATTCGGAACAATGTCTTGTTAGAAGACGAGTTTACTTTGAGATAATCGTTGAGAATACTCAACCCCAATCGTTTAGATTTTCTCACGCGTGACTAAATTTTGTTTCTTTCCTACGTAATTACGCATTCCAAATATTTCTTAAATCTCTTCATTATTTTTCGTTATATGTTCCCCCATCCCCTCCCCTTCGTTTTTCAACAAACTATTTTTATACAATAATAACAATCAAGAAAATCGAATGACAATGCAAAGGAGTTTCTCTCGCATTTCCAGTCAATTCTTCGATTCCATTAATGCGTATCGTTTGCTACGTTAGCTTGTATTCCCCAAGGTAATATTCTCAGTTCAGTTTTCTCTTTCTCTTTCTCATCCCATTTCTACGAGTCCGTGTGACTTGAAACTTCTTCACAGGATGGGATGGGAATGGAACGGGGTTGATAGGGTGAATGTAGAAGAAAAGGTTTCAAGGAGGAGGAAGAAGAAGAGTATGAGAGCTTAAAGTGGTAGTAGGTATCCGCAGGAATAGTTACAAGCAAACTAAATGAACACCCTGCCGACTATTATATGAGAGTAGTTGCTGTTGCTACTTCGTGGAAGCAACTAACTCGACCCTAATGCCCTGCTTATGCCCGATTATTGTCCTCTCCTCGAGTTCAGAGCCAGGACCATTACGAATCCCCGATTCTAACAACAACCACAAAGTATCTTCGTTAACGTGCAAAATCTCTACCGGGTGTAGAGTTAAATCTAAAGAAAAATAATCATAAATAATCATAATTATAATGTTGCAATGATATATTGTTTCATTCATTTGTGAATTGAATGTAATATATTAGAAACGTTTGCGGACAATTTGACAAGCCCTAAAGTGCAGATAAAAAAAAAAACGAATCGTAAGTAATATCTCTTTCACAAGCTTGTTTTTCTTTACTTACGTTATAAGTCTCTGACAATGTAAAGAAAATCAAACGATGGTCATTTGTGGGTAAGCCTTTTCACTAGAATCGGAGATGTATTATTGGTCCTATCGTAGGGAATCCCTTTGTTGTACGCTATCAGCAATTTCTTTTGGATAGGACCAAAGAAATATCGTATCTTCTTTTTTTTCTTTGTTTTTTTTTGATCCGACAATTGTTCGCAATATAATTATTATTATCATCATCATCAATCCAATTATTTATTATATAATCATTGTCGAAGATTATTTTGTGATATTTGTATATTTAAAAAAAAAAAAAAAAAAGGAGATTGTGAACATTTGAAGCAAACCCGATAACACAAATCAGGTTTTAAATAATCAAAGAACCTCGATAGGAGAAAATCAGTCGTGTGAATTCAATTTAAACGACACGTTAAACGTTTATGACACACAACGGGTAATGTGGTCAGAGTTAACAATAAATCTGGAAAGGACTTTTATCGGAAAGTTGATAAAAGCCGAAAAGGGTATCATCGAAAGTTTGGGGGAGAGATTATAAAAGAGGGGAGAAGAGGGTAGAAGGAGAAAGAGAAATGTTGGTAAATGACCATTAATAGAACGCAAAGTCCGACGGTCATGCGCCAATCAGTTGTAGTGACAGTCGCCAGGAAGAAACAAGTATTTCCCATCAGTGTGCATTCGACATGCAAGAACCGATACCCATATCTACGAGACTAGGATAAACTTATCACTGATAATCTATCTTACGTGTTTTTCCTATTTCTATCTCTTCGATCTCTTAAAACATTATATTTGAAATAATTCATTCTTTATATAACAGACATTTTTCTTAAACCTTTTTTAAACTGTCTCAAGATTTTTATTTTCTTTTATTATTTATCTTTATCATTGGCTAAATAAAATAATCGATACAAATTTAACGACCTGTCGAGTAAATGTTTTATTATATATATATATTTATCATATTTAACATATAAGTATGTGACGTGTGTTGAAAAGAATGTTTAACAAAATCAATATCACTTCTTAAGGATATAAATAAGAAAAAAAAAGGGATTTGATTATGTTTAAAAATATAAAAATTAGATTATTTAAGAACAGGAAGAATAATAAAGTTTGTTAAATGAAGAAGAAGGTTAATTTCAAAAAAAAAAAAACGTATCTATTCTTGAAAATCTCGTATAAAATTTCAATAAATCGAATAAAGAGTTTTAAAAGAACAAAAAAAGGTGTTAGAATTTAGTAGAAATAATTTGATAACGTAACGACGTTGTCCATACATAAACTTGATGCTCCCTTTAGACCCTATTATTTTCTATCTTCGTATACGAGCGGAAGCCCTTTTCCGCATGTCTACGCACGCGCGAAATACCATCGGTGACATCGTAAAGAGAGCGAGAGGGATGGAAGGTAGATTTTTTCCGCGCCTCGATATGATTAATACCCTCGCGATACGAAGGGGGGTGGTGTTGATGGTGGTGGTGGTGGTGGTGGTGGTAAAGAGGAAAAGCTCCAAACGATAAAGAGCGGAAGGGGTGAAAACGAGAGTGTGTAAGAGAAGGATGGGGAGATAGGTCGAAACATGGGAAAGAGAAAGTCTGCTACTCAAAAACGGGAGATTACACAAATGTGTGTATGTATATGTGTAATAGTTTGAGGGTTTGCGTCATGCGAAAGAGAGAAGAGTAGAAGAAGAAGAAGAAAAGAGGAGATGAACACAGATGGAAAGAGGTGAAGGTTTTTTGGTGGGGAGAGGTGAGTAAGAAAGAGAACGTGTCGAGAAAGGGAACAGTTATGGCATTGGGGGTGTCAGTATTAGTAATGGTGGTGGTGGTGGTGGTCGCTCGTCGTACACCAAATCCCCGTCAACCGCATTCAATTACGATGTTATCGCGAATACAGATGACGGTTATTTCCTTCGGTACACCCTATACATAACGACGGCCGCGTACAACTCCTGCGTGGGCAAAGTTAAGGCCGTATAATGGCGTGCCGGCCGGCCGTGTGATTGTTTTAGGATGTGAACACCGACGATGTTTCGGGATAAAGCGGGATCCGATTTCGACGAACCCAGTCTATCCTATCCTATCCTATCCTATCCAATCCTATCCGTTCGTTTGTTTCAATTCTTGTGGATTGAAAGTTTTCAAAAAAAATGATTGAAATCGACAGTTTTTTTTTTCTTTTTTTCTTTATTATTTGTTTGTTCCATTTTATTTTCTATTTGTTTTTTTTTTTTTGATCGATTACTTGGCATTGGTTTGAACGACGTCACCCGTTACAGCGATGTAACAAAATGCACCTTCCTCGGTAGTCGGTTGTTCCATGATAAAGGAATCTGCTTCTTGATTAAATGGTGACGTCAGTGGATACTTTTTCGCTGCTCGCCTATAATTTGACATCATCCAAATATTTTTGGATACTTCTATTTTATTCACCTATCAATCGAGTGGTCATTTTTCCTACCTTGCTGCTTCTGGTAAAGAATCGAGATATTTCATTGGCGGATAATCTTGAAAAGGTCCGGCTATTCGCAAATCTCGCACATATCTTGACAAATGTTTACAAATGAATGATGATAATAAAGAATTGTAGAAAATAAAACGATAATAAATAGATAATAACTGAAACAAAAAACAATAAAAATTACCCGTAAAGGGCGTAAGCGTAATCGTTCCTAAGTCCCTTCATTTTGCTACATTTGTTGCAACTCAATCGGCAAAGTGTTTGAATCCAAGCAGTGACTATGGTTCTCGCATTGGGGGATGGTATAGATGCTGCATATGGTCTGATTTGATAAAGTAAGAACCAAAATTCCTAAATAATAGGAAAATTGTTATTTTTAAGTAGTAAATATCGATGAATAGTCAGACTTCAATGAGACAATTCTTTTACATTATCCATTTGTTCGTCCATCTCAAAGGAATCCTGTTCGCAAAACGAATTCTCGTCGTGGAAACTACACGGTATCTAAAATAATAATAATATTATTATTATTATTATTTAAATAATTGAAATAAATGAATATAATAATAAAATAACAAACTTCTTCGTAATCGTCGGGCAATGATGCAACGTATTCGCTCCAAGTTGTGTCCAATTCCCATTGGGCAGGTGGAGCTTTGATTACCGTCTCGTTAGATAAATCTTTGAGCGAACCGATTGGTGGATCATCGGCAAATACGCCACTCAACTCGTCGTTCAACATATTCATAGTTAACGATGACAAATATCTTAAGGAAATCCAATGATTCAAAACCAATTAATAACTCAATAATATAAATTATAGAAAGTTTAATGGGGTAATTTTATTACCTGTTACGTTTATCACGTAAAATTTCTACGTGATATTCGGCAGCAAAGAGTTTGTCAACCCAAGGAATGATTCTACTTTTATCTTCTACACGTGACATGGCTGGTGCCAAATTTCTAATAGCCGCACTAATTATAAACGATCATAAACATCAATTATCTCTCTCGTGACATTTGATAAGAAAAAAAAAAAAAAAAAATTAAATATCATCATTAATTTACCCGTAATATTGAAATTCCGTAACAAGTGTATCGAATTTTGATTGAACCTTTGAATGAATTTTCCTCGAATCATTCGAATTATTTTCATTCTTTGTAATAATCGTTGACGACATGTTATTCCCATGAAATAAACGAAAGAATTTGTTTAAAGGTTAAAAGAGAGAAAAAAAGAAAGAAAAAAAAAGAAAGAGAGTACAATTACGAGTGACGATTCGATATACAAAAATTCGATATATTTTGAAAAAAAAAAAACATTGATTAACTTCAGATAAAAGATACGATATATTTCGCAATAGTAGTGGGTAGTATAGTAACTAAAAATTCAGTGCAAACTCGTAGAGACGGTATTTTGCCAGAGAAAAAGAAAAGGGAAGGGAAGTAGGGGGGGGGGCGGAGAGGGGAAAGATAGTTCGTTCTTCTCGATACTTTCGCACGATAAAACATGAAATATGAAGGTTTGCCAAGGTTCCGTTTGGTCCAAGCACATGAGAGGATGTGCAGATCATAACGCAACCCAGCCGGTGGTATGAACACCCCCCACACGTCTACCGCCTGAGTTACTTCGCTTGGCTATTTCAAAGGAATTCTTTCTTTCTTTCTTTGTAAGCTCTATACATCTCTATCAAAGACTCCACTCCAGAGAGAGAGAGAGAGAGAGAGAGAGAGAGAGAGAGAATTCTGTGTTACTTTATTCCATGTTTTTTTTTTTTTATTATTATTATAGTTTCGCCTCGTAAAATTTAGTTCTCCAAGGAAAAGGAAACTGTTGATCGTTTTTCAACCGAGAGACAATAATTTTGAAAAGATAAGCTACCCCCTCTATTTCCTTCCTATTTGTAAGAATCTTTTTATCGTCGATCAAATATATTAGCTTTTAATTGAGAATCATTTTCATTCATCGAAAGATCAGAAAGAAAAACGAAAAAAAAGAAATAGTTTAAAATAACGAAATGATTATTATTATACAGGCAACGCGAAGTAGGAAATTAACTCTTTGAGGTACGATGAGATTAAAAGTGTCCCTTCCCCCTCCCCCACTATTTTGAGCAGAGAAAGATTAATTGGAAGTTTTATGGAGTAAAAGGAAAAAAAGAAAAAGAAAGAAAATAAGATAGGCTAAAGTGAACAGCAGAAGTAGCAGCAGAAGCAGCAACAGCAACAGGAGGGGAGGAATAGAAAAGCCGGGGGCGAGCTTTTTGCCGAACACATAATGCATAGCAAAGCATGACACCCTTATCTCGGGATCTTTAATTCCGTGAGCTGCCGCGAGGGGGTTGGACCAACGTCATTTGTCGGTTGCATCGCGTTGGGCCACAGGCGGTCAGGAGTATAGTTGGATAACGTGCCATGGTATCCTCGTATAGAGGGGCTGGAAATTGCCTTGGCTGATTTCATTTCGGGACCAGATTATTTTAAGGGAGACCCTCTCATACTCTCTCTCTCTCTCTCTCTCTCTCTCTCTCTTTCTCTTTCTCTTTCTCTTTCGCTCTCTACCGCGTTCTGCGTGATTAATGCGATACGCTACGAGTTAGGGAGAAACGTCTTCTCAAGGTCGAGCAAGGAAAATCCGATTAATTTGCAAGCTTACTTAAACAATGAAAAAGAGAGAGAGAGAGAGAGAGAATTTATGTTTCAAATTTTTAAATATTCTTATTCATTTTAATACGAAATTTCCAATTACTCCGATTACTTTTAATTCAAAATCGGATACTTAGTACTTAATGATTTAATATATTTTCAGAAAATGAATTTATTTTAATATTAATTAAAAAGTATTAGTTTATACTTACGATATATGTTATTAGTAACCCTTGTGCACTGATAAATGTATCGTTGAAAGAGTGTGTTTGACAATTTTAAAGTAGCTTTCTTGTAAGACGAAAAACACCTTACTTAGGATCCAAACATTTTTCTTGTACGTTAATCAAACGAGTATCGTTTGATTTCAAACTAATTATATTTAATGTTTTTTTTATATTGCTAATAGTGAAAGAATTATAATACTATTATCTTCATCTAGAAGTTAATAACTGTTGATCATAGAAATGAATGATTATAGAAAAATATCATAATAATACCCACCTTTTTTTCTCGTAGCAAATCATTATTATCACCAAATACGAAATAGGGGATATATTAAAAGCCATTAAACTTTTCATAACCAATATACACGCACTCATCAATCCACTCACGCACTAACCCATCGTACGTACAAATATATATATATATCTATGTAAATGCCTGAAGAATCTATCGTTCGCGTAAAATCTCATCAAAATTCCGCCTCCCTGGTTAAGGCTTAATTTCCGGCCTTGGAATCGAGCGAACGAACGAACGAACGAACGAATGAACGAATGAGCGAATGAACGAATGAACGAATGAACGAATGAACGAACGTATGTACGAAAGAGGGAACAAGAACAGAAGGTGGGATCGCTACGATATCGTATAGAAACCGGTCGATAGAGAGATACCGAATTAATACTGAGACTCACCATACGAGATACGAATGAACACGTATATATATAACATATAAGAGGACCAGGACCATATATATATATATATATATTTTATATACATACATACACACGTTAACTCAATGGTAGTATCGTCTAACGACTACGAAATTTTATAAGTCATATTATTCTACACGAAACTCACACTCACACTTACACACACACCCACATAAAATGTTAGTTGGCAAAACTGTTGCCCACAACTTCCAAATAAAAAATAAAAAAAAATGGAAAGACAGAGAGAGAGAGAGAGAGAGAAAGTAGCAAGCACGTATTTAGTTTGAAGAAAGTTTCAACTGTGTCGCCATTATAAAGTCTTCACCGAGCATAATAACGTTTGACTTGGTGGGTCTGGAAAGCATTAGGGAAATCGTATTTGCTTTCTCTCTCTCTCTCTCTCTCTTTTTCTGTTTCTCTTTCTCAATCTTCTCCCCCTTTTCTTTCTTACTAGGTTCTCTCGTTCCAAGAGTCGTAACTCAGCGACGACCAATACCGGCCCGTAGAGGAAGGTAAACCCCGTACTCTACAAATGCACGCGTACGGTCTTTTACCGTTCGTTTCGCGATTTCGATAGTATCGTTCGATTGCGAGGAGGGGCTGTGGCCTCTCGCGTTCTTCCAAAGACCATAAATAGAGCCCAAATGGAATAGTAGGGAAAGGGAATAGCTACTTTATATATATATACCTATACACAAACACATATGTGTGTTTGTGTATAAGATAGGGGGGCTGGGCGGAACGAAATTCGTTTTGGTGGTTATATAGTTCTTTCTCTTTCTCTTTCTCTTTCTCTTTCTCTATTGTTGGTTGTGTAGCTCTAATGTTCTGGAAGTGAAATAAAAATGCTCCTCCAATGTATCAGATTGTATTTATAAGAATGTTATATTTTCTCGGTAGTAATGGGAGAGCAGCCCCTACAGAGCCGATCGTAAATATATCGGTAATGCGCTAGTAAACGATATTATATACAGATGAATAACAAAACGAGCCTTTTTTTTTTTTTTTGAGCGCGCTTGCTGGTGAGAGATTTTTTTTCTTATTTTTTTTTTTTTTTTTGCCGAGTGTTGTACGAACATAGAATATGGGATCAAAAGGAATCGCGGGTATCATCGGGTATGATCTCATCGGAAAGGATTGTTCAAGAAAACAAAAAAAAAAACTTTCATAGGGAATTTGCTAAGGTTTCTGATTTTTTGTTGTTTTTTTTTTCTTTTTTTTTTAAATTAACAAATTTTTTTTGTAGAAAGTAAGACTGCATAAAGTTATTTTCTTTCTTTCTTTCTTTCTTTCTTATTGTTGTTGTTGTTATTGTTGTTATTTTATTTGTTCGTTTCTAAATCTACTGGTACGACGACGATGACGACGACGACGACGACGACGACGGGGTAAAAAGAAGTGCTTGTGTTATTTGTTCATTTATTTCTCGGTGTGCCATATTTTTTACTTACTCGGAGAAAAAAAAGAAACAACAATTCTTTTTCGTCATATTTCTTTTTTTTTTTTTTTGTACTTCATCGATACGCGCTGTGGGACTTATAGTTTATTTCTTTCATTTCTTTTGCTTCTCCATCTTTTTTTTTTTCTTTTTTTTCTCTTTTTCTTATACGTCAATTTTACATTCCAGCAATGGCGATCGACGATTTGCGATTTGCTCGATCATTCAACGAAACATTATTTCGATTTAATTATTTTAGAAGAAGAAGAAAAAACAAAAAAAACAACAACAGAGAAATAATTATTGTATAGGATATTCGTGAAAACAAAATTGGAGCCGTTGAACCAACCGACATGTTGGGGGCCCTTCGATCAACTTTCTCACTAGGGATCCTGTAGGAAGGATGCACCATTCATATTCAGTTCATGGTGCCATTGGCTGAAAATTTTGGAGGATCGCTTGAATTTATAATAATTTGTTCGTGTAACCTACCTATTCTATTTTAATATAAATTTTTAATTATTATTAAATATAGTTCATTTTTTCTTTCTGTATTTGATGCAATTCATTATTTCATAATTATTTCAATGTTTGAATCATTCGCGCACAAAATCGAGTTCCGGTCCCCGAACAATGTACATGGCGCATCCCTCCTATAGGATCCCTACTTTCTCACGAATACTCGTTTTGTTTTTTGGTTTTTTTTTTTTTATTTGGCGCGTCGGTCCTCCTCGATCGTCATAACCTAAAATTCCCATAAATCCTTTGGTGTGTGTCTGTGTGTGAATGCAAGTTGTTAACATCTGATCTGTCTTCTTTGTCTTTGGTTTATTTGTTTGAAAATTGTAAAGCTTCGACGACGACGACGACGACCCCCCTCCCCCCTCCCTATCCTTCCCATCCCCAACCCTCACCAGCCAACACTATCACCCCAAAAGTTCAGGGGGTCGCAAGATAAACAAAACACTGAAAAATGTCGATAATCTTTAAAGACTCGGGGATTTTGTTTATACAATGAAACTTTTCTTACTTTTTACATCTGTTTCTTCATAATTTTTTTTTTTTTTTTTTCGTTAAAATCTTACATCGTTAATCTTTGGTATCGGCTGTATGGAACTCGAGTTCAAAGTCCCCTTTTATTTATTTATTTTTTTTTTCTTAAAAAGGCATTAATAGTAACGAATACTTTTGCTGCGTTTTTCGTTGGAAAGGGGAAAAAAAAACAGCTAACGTCTAAAAAGCTTTTTATCAACGATAAAATCACGTTAACTGTTATATTTGTCGGTTGTGTTATACNTTATTTATTTATTTTTTTTTTCTTAAAAAGGCATTAATAGTAACGAATACTTTTGCTGCGTTTTTCGTTGGAAAGGGGAAAAAAAAAAAAAAAAAGAAAAGATACAAAAATAAAAAAAAAAATAAAACTCGAGAACGTGAGAAAATTCTCGTAACGAAAATGGCATGATTCTTAAATTTATTCAACATTAATATGACGAAGAAGAAAAAGGAAAATAAGAAGAAGAAGAAGAAGAAGAAGAAGAAGAAGGAAAAGGGCATGAAAAAAAAAAAACCAAAAAAAATTTATTTGACCATTTTCCTATACTCGGCCATCTTCTTCTTCTTCTTTCTTTCTTTCCTTTCCTTTTGTTTTTATCTTCTTCTTCTTCTTCTTCTTCTTCTTCTACGTCATAACTCGATGTCATCGTCCTCTATCTCGTTACGAAGAAATTACCTAATTAGAAGGATGAAAAAAAAAGAAAAAAAAAAAAGAGAAAAAAAAAAAAAGAATAAGAACGAGAGCGGATTATGTTAACCGGTTTTTAACGAAGATGATAATAATAATCATAGAAAGATCTTAATCGTTAGACGTATACTCGTATAACCTCAGGCGTTCTTCACTCATGAAGTCGATATATATATATATATATTAATAAGGATATTTACAACTGTCGACTTCGCCATTTTCTTTCACACTCTCTCTCTCTCTCTCTCTCTCTCTTTCTTTTCGCACTATTTAACACTCATCCTTTTTTTCAACTTACTCTTCATTTTTTTGTTTGTTTGTATGTGTTTTTTCTTTTCCTCTTTTTGTTTTTCTTTTCTCTCTCGTCAATCTTTACTTATCGTTAGAAACATATTTTACACGAACTGTCCCGTTTATTATGGTGTAACCACGTGCAAGGGGGGGGTGAAACACCGGATCAAAATTTACAATGGATTTACCAATAAATCATCACCTGTATTGTTTTTCTTTTTTTGTTTGTTTCGTTTGTTCTTTGTCCTATCTGTTTCTTCAACCCTTTCTTCCGTTTTTTTTTTCATTTTTTTTTTTTTTTAATCTTTTTAATCATTTTTTCGTTAATTCGAGAATAGAAGAACAAGAAATCAATTCTTCCTATACGAGACGACTCGAATTATTTGTAATTACATTTTCGCCCGTTTTCAGTTCGCGAAGAACGTCCAAGTTCTTTTTATTTTATTTTTACTTTGTTGTTTGTTTTGTTTTGTTTTGTTTTGTTTTTTTCTTTTCAACTCCGAAGCTTTAAATCGCGCAACACACTCGACGACACGATTTCACGGCTGATTAATAACCGCTGAGACATCTTAACTTCTTCAGTGGTGGTAAAGCCTCGTCTCAGCTCGTCGGTGCTTGCATCGTCATCGGCAGTGGTTTCACCGAACCCAAACCAGGCCCAGATAGTCCGTTGTTGTTCATATCACCTGGTGCACGAGGACCACCCACGCCTATGGCTGTACCATTTATTGTTGCTCCTCCACCACCTGACATCTGACCCTAAAGTCAAAAAATCAATCCTTCCTTCAACATCTATCTATCTATCTATCATTGTGTTACATTGAGTTTAATTCTTTTAATAGGGGTGAGGGAGGGGGAGGGGGCAAGTTAGGTTATCTTTTACAGGGGGGGGGGAAATAATTATTATTATCTCGATAAATATTCATTAAGATGACTTTTTAAAAATGACAAACAGATTTTCGATAATAAAACTTACGTTCGTCGCGTGATTATGAGGTCCCACCATTTGCCCGATACCTTGATGACCCTGAAGAGGATTGTGACCAGAATGAACGTTCTGTCCAGGTGGGGTCGCCGATGGTGGAAGTTGCCTTTTAATATATGCGAGTGATGCTGGTGACTGAGGTGCCATATTGGCGAACCTCGCTTCGTAATCGTACTCGCAAAGAATTTTATTCTCGCACAAATAAAACCGATCACCTACGCAAAATCTGCAATCAAACAAACAAAACAACCCTTGTTCCTAACTCTCGTTTTAACAAAATTCATTCATAAGATTTATCTATAACTAAATCGTTCTCGATCCTATAACAACAATCATATATCGATTAATTCTCGACGATTATTACAAATTTATCAAAATGTAATCCTAAGAAAAAAAAAAAAAAGAAGTGATCCCAAAAAAAAAAAAAGGAAAAGGAAATCACAAGGACTAAATGTGCTAACAAGGAAACACCTGTTGATGCCTGTTGAGCTTTAGTTAAGATAATAATACGGTGTTAAGCGAAGGAAGTTTTGGAAATGTAAAGAAGGAAATAAAAAAAGATTGACAAAGAAAGATAGAGAGAGAGAGAGAGAGAGAGAGAGAGNAATGTGCTAACAAGGAAACACCTGTTGATGCCTGTTGAGCTTTAGTTAAGATAATAATACGGTGTTAAGCGAAGGAAGTTTTGGAAATGTAAAGAGAGAGAGAGAGAGAGAGAGAGAGAGAGAGAGAGAGAGAGAGAGAGAGAGAGAGAGAGAGAGTTTATCAAAAGATGGACGGATGAATTAGAATTTATGGAAAGTACCGAACGCAATTTTCGAGAAAATGTAATTGACCGGTCAGAAAGAGAAAAAGAAGAGAAATAATAGATACATATATAGGAATGCCGGTAATATTTTTATCCTCTTCTATTTCCCCATTTCTTCTTTTTTTTTTTTTGTTTTTTTTTTTTTAATCCAAAAATGGTCGAACGTCAAAACGCGAAGGGTTTGATGGACGCTTGGAAATTTGTACCGATTGACAGTAGCAGAATTATCTCACGATGCATCTGTCTCTCGCGTATTTCCATCTTCGTTCATTTTTTTTTTTTGAGAGAGAGAGAGAGATAGGAAAAAAGAATAGAAAGAAAAAGAGAGAGAAAGAGAGAAAGAGAGAGAGAGAGAGCAGAGATCGATAGTAATGGAAAGGGATAGAGGAAGAGAAGAATTGAAGAAGGGGTAGGGTAAAAAGGACGACGTTGGTCGATAACGAGCGCACATCGCGACGTGCCGGACAAATAATTATTATCGGGCTTCTCTCTGTCCGCGAACGGTGTCGTATCCGCTTTGATCCCGGCAGGAAATACGAGAGCGAAATACAAGAGCAAGCCCGAAGTCTGGCTCGTGGTAGATACTCTCTCTCTCTCTCTCTCTCTCTCGTAATCGCACGGCAAATAGAATTAGCGCGCATCCTGCACGCGTACGGCCCTCCCTCCCTCTCCCCCCGCCCCTCCACCGTACACTCTGTTCTACCTGCTAGTAACGTAGCTTATACCAACCAGCCAGCTTTCTCCCTCGTTTTCAAGCTCCCCCTGCCCACCCAACATCCAACACCACCCTGCCTGCCTGCCTGCCTGCCCTCCCCGCTTCCCAACTCGCACATTATACGGCTGACACGTCTGTGCTAAATGACGCCGCGGGTGCCTAGTGTATAGTAGTCGACACTGTTGCAATTCGAACTTTCTTTTTTCCTTTTTTTCTTTTTTTTTTTTCAAAAAAAAAAAAAAAAAAAAAACAGCTAACGTCTAAAAAGCTTTTTATCAACGATAAAATCACGTTAACTGTTATATTTGTCGGTTGTGTTATACCTTTATACAATAAAATATCATTTGAACAAATTTACTGTTATTAATATTACTTTTAGTTGTTACGTTGTTGGTTACCACGTTGGTGAGTGACGTTTGTTCGGTTAATCGGGAATTATTTGTATTGTTTTAATATTTAACGTTTAGAATGATGAGCACTCAGGTAAAAAAAAAAAAAAAAAAACATGTGAAACTTGCATGACAGTGAACTTTTCTAAATTCATTTCTAATTAGAATAAGCAAAAGTATTACAATGAAGAAAGATTTGAAAGAATTTTTATCACAATACTACAATTGCCATTTAAATCCTAATTGTCACTAGGATAATAATAATAATAATGACTAATATCTATTTATCTAAGCTTTATTAAAAGTACAAACATTAAAACAATATAAAAGGATAGGATTTGGAGTTGCAGAGTCGACTATCAATTAGGACACGGAGAAAACACTTGGTTGTTTTGAAAAGCTTTTTGGGTTCATTCTCTCTCTCTCTCTCTCTCTCTCTCTCTCTCTCTCGTCTGGACTAGAGATAGAGAGATTATCATAACTGCCCAGTCATTGGTATTATCGCCCAGCAGTACCAGCACACTCATTGCGTTGGATTTTCCATTATTATGCTCACTCGCGAATAATGGCACGCGGCGCGAAAGCCGATCCTTTAATTCTCGCGGAAACATTTGCCATCCCACCACGTTCACGATGATACCAAATGCGACTCAACCTATTACTCTCTCTTTCTCTCTCTCTCTTTCTCTCTCTCTCTCTCTCTCTCTCTCTTTATCTATCCCCTTTTCTCTTCCGACTAACGCGATTTTCATTCGAACGAGCGAACTAATTAGCTAACCGTTTTACCTTTAAACCATTTTTCTAATTCGCTAGCAGTCGGTTTATAATCGAATTAACGTTACCAAGGGATTCCCCGATCAAATAAAAAGGGGCTTCCCATTGTCTTGTTAGAAAATAAATCTTATTAACAGAAATATTCGATAAATGAGGTTCGGGGGAAGGATGAAAATTAAACCCTTTGTTGTTTGAGACGCGAACTTTCCGTTGATTACGACACATGCATACACACACAATATAGGAACTTAAATCGTAGGGCAAGAGATCTAGAGATGTCGATGATGTTAAGAAGAGCACACGATCTTGAAATGGGAAAAAAGGTAAACCCTTTTCACATCTACAAAACTACAAATGTATGAGAAGCTTCCTAGGAGATAGCACGTGTACGGGAACGGCAAGTGCAAGATGTTTGAAATATTAATCGTTCGCTAGCATGAGCGAGAGATGTTAAAATCACAAGAGAAAAAAAGGAGAGAGAGAGAGAGAGAGGAGAGAGAGAGATAAGGGTAGGATGGGTGGTTTGTTTGTAGAATGGAGGAAAGAGGAACGTCGTCTCGTCCTCGAGTTTGCATGGAAAATTTCAATCTGGGTATACTCGGATAACTTGGTTGAATCTTTAATGAGGGTCACCGGGCTTTGCAAAACACACCGGCATACACCTAGGATACTATTGCACGAAACGGAAAATAGAGACGCGTTTCTATCTAGATAGAAAAAAAAAAGAAAGAAAGAAAGAAGAGATAGTGTGTGTAGTGCAGTTTGAATAAATAAATGTGATAGTCGGTGCCAATGTGTGACCCCATTAGGACCGCTTTACTGCCGACCCCAGTGGTGCCAGCATGCCCATAGCCCCTTCCAAGAGTAATACCTATAGTGCTTGGACGAATGCGAAATACTGAAAATGTTTCTGCTGAATCCTACGAAAGAATTCTCTACGATTTTCTCGCTAAACTTAGCACTTTGAAAATATAGTAAATAAAATCTATATCCGTTTCGTGGTAACAAATAAAAATGTAAAGGATTTCTTTGAAATAAAATAATCAAAATAAGAAAACAAAAAGAACAAAACAAAAAGAACAAAAAAAAAACAAGGGAGAATATTAAATCGATATCAATTTTGTCATACTCATCGATCATCCGTAGCTAGCAGGTGCGATGGAATACAAGAATGCGAATGGTTGAGTTCTGTTAAACGACTGTCTGTGTACGTATGTGCGGGTGTGTGTCTGTGAGAAAGAGAGACAACGACGATGAGAGAGGGAGATGTAGCTAATTGGATCGGTAAATCATCCCTCTGTCTAGGAGGGTGGAAACATAGTCCATGCCACCGGCAACCCTTTATTCCGTGTTATTACAGTCTAAAGTTACCCCGCACCGTAATTGTTGCTGTTTAATTGCAAGCTCTAAGTCGTCGTGTTACGCGACACACTGCCGACGTTGTTGCCACTGGTGTTGGTGCTGGGTGCTACTACTGCCGCCTCTTTCATGCGCATATAATTGCCTTCTTCGAGTTTGCCTTGCTAAAGCAGAGAAAAGCTATCCTCTCTCTCTCTCTATCTCTTTCTTTTTTACCTTTGCGCTACAAAAATAATTGGATGTCTTTCGCGAGAACGAAAATGTTTATTGCCTTCGTTCGAAGAGTCCTCTAACTTCTCAAGAAGATATGACGAAAATATATCAACAGTATTTTGTGTGTGTGTGTTTTTTTTTCTTTTTCTTTTTTTAGGTAAGAATATATATATATACATAAACCTAAATGCTTGGATGAGAGTTGAATCTAATGAGAGAAGACTAAAAATAGAAATTAATGGGATATGATCCTAAGAGAATTGGAAGAATACAAAAAGATCAGAATTCATTTCATTTATAGGACTAAAATTATAGGGGAGGAAAAGAAACGAACTAGGGTGAGAAATAAATTTTGGTTTGTCAGACAATTCAATTGAATATATATATATATATATTCAAGTTTAGTAACATTTGAGCAAAAGTTAAAAGAAGAAAAATAAGGTTGATCTAAGTGATTAGATTAAGAGTTGTTTCAGACTTGTGACACCGAATTGTCGAGAACAGTTAAGTTATCGTCGTCTTGTCGTATCATCAAGAAAGAATAGGCCTAGAAACTCACAGAGAAAGAAAAGCACTGTACCGACTAGGGTATTGTTAAAGATAGACAATGGCCAACGATAAAAACGTAAAATTGATGCTCTTTTGTTCACATTGTTTGAGATGCTGTAGAACGTTTGTCGCACGCCTGGCCGAGCCATTACTATTGGCTTGAAAACTACAACCCCTTCCCTTTTTCTCTCCACGTTTCACCACTAAAAGTACCCCCGACAGAACGCTCCGCTCATTTCCCCTCTGACCAACGACTGCAACCCTTCCTCTCTCCCACCCTTAACTCTTCCTCAATTCCAACGAGCCATCAATAAAGCCAGTTCTCTCTCTCTCTCACATTGTTACCCCTTATATATCCCTGTACATTTTACATTCTTCTTTATCTGTGATTATTTTCTTACACCACAAAAAAAAAGGTTCTAGAAAGGATCTATCATAGAACAAACGTCAACTTCAAGGATACACGTATGTCTGAGTTTAGTTAACACGTTCGCGAATGTAAAGTAAAAAAAGTATTAATACCTCTAATCAAAATTCTTTTTGCAAAGAAAAAAGAAATAATAATAATAATAATAAGAAGAAAATGGGAATATCTTTTTGCCATTGTTATTGCTTTTTGGGAAAGTGGATATGAAAGAGTTAAGAGATAGAAAGAAAGAGAGAGAGAGGAAAAAAAAAGCAAGAGACGACCAAATAAAATGAGAAGTGAAATACGAATAGTGGAAGGTAGTAGGATATAGATGAGGATGAAAGGGAGAAAAGAGAAGAGGACGAGGAAGAAGAGGAGGAGGAGGAGGGTCAGAGCAAAGGGTGATTTCCCAGCTGGCCTGTAAAGGAATCCCTCGAGTTGACTCTGTCTCGTTCCAACTCATTCCTAGTCTTCTCTGGGCTGACTCCTCTAGGAGTCAGGACCTTATATACTTCAGCTATTGTAATTATCTTTGAAACTTGCATCGCGCATTCGTAATTTCAAATTTTACATAAGACAGTGATATATAAGTTGATATAAAATATTATTATTATTATTATTATTACTTACCGATGCGTACACTGTTGACAAGCGAAACAATCAAGATGATAGACGTTTGTCCTGGCTCGCATGACCATTTCGAAGGCCGGTATAGACTTGTTGCAGGCCGCACAATATCCGGTGTTTCCGAAGAGCCTAAGGTAGTCCCTCTTGCAGAGGATAAGGTTGGCCTTTGTATAAAGCGTGGAACCGACCTCGCCTAACCTACAGTCGCAGCATCCGCACTTGAGACAATCCTCGTGCCAGTAAAGGTCCAGAGCTTTCAGAAGATACCTGTAAAACCGACCGTAGTTTCTCTTATTACCGACAGTGTTCACTTTTAAGACATTCCTAACACGTCAAACTAATAGCCTTTCTTAATATACTTCCAATCAATTCTATAGAAAATATTTATTTATAAATTTCTCGAAAACATTTTATTTCAACGTCTAAAGACTATTTTAATCCTTTTCATTCTTTAATAAAATGTTGTATTGCAACAATGCGAAACGTGTACAAAATAATTCTATCCAGAGTCTTAGGTTCGTCATTAAAGTTGGCGTAAGAAATGTGACGTTGAATCATGGTCGATATAAGAATAAGGTAAGGATTCAAAATTGATGACTATTATTTGAAACCGGTCAACGGTACTTTACTTGACAAACCRATTGATTGATTTATCTATCGTAAAAAATTCAAAAGACGTACGATTCGGAATTAATTAAAGCTATTCGTTAATTCTATGCAATTAAATCGTGAAATAAAGAGAGTGAGAAAAAGAGAGAGAGAGAGAAAGAGAGAGAAAGGAAAAAAGAAAGGAAGGGGAAAAAAAACGAATCGTTAGCAGTCGATATGTGTTGATTTTTAAAAGGGTCGGGATACTAATGAAGCGAAATACGCGTTTCTGTTAAAACGAATAAAACGAACTGACGCGAGATAGAAACAACTGAGATGATCGTTTATTGATCTCTCTGTTTGGCATAGCAAAAAAAATAAGTTTGAAAAAAATATACAAGCGAATAGAAATTCATATTAATTTGTAATCGTTTGTGTGTGTGTGTGTGTAGGATGGATATGCGTGCGAACAATTTCACTCGTTTATTGCTACTCGTTATCCACGTGTGCACAAAAATTATTCCGATATATACACGTAGGATATTATTCATTTTTTCATCTTCTCCTTCGTTTTCCAACCGACTTGTATTTTTATTATTTTATTTTTTTTTTTTTTTAATTATTATTTTTATCTTTTTTTCTTTTATTAATTTGCTCATCGGGAGCGAGAAATGCTATACATAAAATTCCCAGCACGTATATCCGACAGTTTAGAACAATTCGAAAATGTTCCCGTCGGTCAGTTAAATCGAAACAAACGCGGCGGTGGCTCTGATTGGAGGCTTTCAGAGCGGATACTGGATAACCGATCGAAATAAAAAAGTCGAGCGCTAGGAGCGATGTGATATGTGTGTGCCTCGAATGCTTCTCGTTAAAAACGCTAATAGCCACGATCGAAAGTGGAGAGCACGAAATAATGGATACGGCTGCTGTTGCTGCTACTGTTGCTGCTAGTGCTGGTGTGCTGGTGCTGCTGCTGCTGCTGCAACTGATGGAGAGGAGAAGGAGGAGGAGTAGGAGGAGAAGGAGGGAACGATCGAAAAATCGTGTTTTCAAGTCGAAACTCCATTTGCCTGACCCACCTTTCCGTGATGGTTTTCCTACAACCGGCACATTCCTGCTGCGTCGAACCGTTTTTATTCGTTTCCGACTTACTCACGTCCATAGTCATCCTGATCCCAGCTATAACGCCTCCTGCAACATTAACGAGAGGACGATCCGTAAAACATCAAACTTTTCATCTTTCCAACGAAAACTAACGAAAATCTACATTAATTTGATAAGTTTACAATAAAAAGTGAAACAGATAATAATAATAATAATAATAATAATAATAATAATAATAATAAATAGATAGATTAGATATAACATCGACTACCCTCAAAAGTTTTGTTAGAGTCTTTCACGTGAAAAAAAGTCAAACGACGACGACGACGGCGACGGCAGTCTCTAACATAAGTGCAACGCGTCTGAACGAACACATTTCTGTTGAAAACGTAAACGCACGTCGTCTCTCTATACCGAAGCAATTCGAACGATGAGGGGGTGGTTTGGCGGGTGGTGGACTGTTGAGAGGTGCGCGCGCGGCAAACCTCGGCTTGAGTTGGGTTGGGTTGGGTTGGGTTGAGTTGAGTTGAGTTGAGTTGAGTTGGATACGGGGTTCTTGCGCGCGCGACACCAGAGGAAGGATTCCCGAGAGTGGAATGGGGAAAGGGTACACGGCGAGGCGCGGGGCTTAATTAATTAGCCGGATACTTTGAGTAACAATCCATTATTACATACAAACATCCTCGGCCCCGGGGCCAAGCTGCAGCTTTATGCTGCTAATTGGCCTTCTCAAAGCTGGGAGACCCGGGCACGAGTTATAAACGCTACTCTTCTCTCTCCCTCTCTCTCTCTTTCTCTCTTATTCTCTGTCTTCCTCGTTCAGGTTACCGTCGTATATACGTATGTATACCACCTTCGTTCTATCTATCCTTCTCTCTTTCTCTCTTACACGTACCAACCAAAGTATACACAATTGTAGAGAGATCTATGGAAAGAGAGAGAGAGAGAGAGAGAGGTAGCATGCGCACGCCGACACATGCGCGTCAAACGATGAAGAAAGAAAGAGAGGATAGAGAGTGAGAGAGGGAGAGAGAGAGAGAGGGAACGGATAGCGCTAATAACGCGCTCGTGGCGCAAAAAAAAGGAAGAAGTATAATTGCCAGCCCTCGTGGCAGGTATTTTTCAAATAGGACCCCGTCCGTTAATTGGAGGGCAAATTAAAGAGGAGCCGCGGAGGAAAAAAACATCGTTCCTCCGCCTTACACCCCCGCGTGCCTCTTCCTTTCCTCTCATACTCTCATACTCCCTCTCTCTTCTCTCATAGTCCGACTCGACGAGAGGATATTCGCTAGGTGGGCGCCTTGCCGCGATTCGTCAAAACGAAACGCGTTGCTTTTCCTCTGCTTGTCTTTTCTATTTGCTTCCCACCCCTTACCCTATCCCACCTCCACCGCTCCTTTCTCTTCTTTTTGTTAAATCGTAATCGCCAAAATAGGATTTATCCGAGCGAATACTTCGATAACCCCGCGAATAAGAAAAACAGAAAAAAATAAAAATAAAAAAGAAAAAGAAGAATCTGCTTCCGGTAAATTGCAATAAATGGTTCGTTTCATATCTACGATTTGTATTGTATCTTGTTGACTTAAAGGAAATTCGCATCGATGGTAGAAAATTGAAATATTATATAAAAGAAGAGTAGAGAGAGAAAGAAAAAAAACAGCGGATTGCGAGATACGAAATGATGATTTTTATTACTAGGATAGGTTGCTATGGTTGCGTTGTTGCTTGTTGCTGCTGCCTGTTGTTGCTTGGCTCGAGACGATTAAATCGCACAAATTGGATACGCGAACCGGTCTCTGTAATTTAATCTTTCAACGCGTCACAGACCAGTATGTGAACTTGAGAGGCTAGCTCGCGAGACACAAATAACAGCAGAGACTACCGTGCTGCGCAACACGTATAACAAATACATATAACGTGCACATTGTGCATGAACATATAATATAACGATTCCTCTGTCTGTGCGTTCTCGCAAACTAACGAAATCCACAAAAGACGTTTGTTCTTTCGCAATCGAATTTGCGTAGCTAGCGAATGAGTTAAAAAGAAAGAAGAGAGAGTATGAATCATGGGTGAGAGAAGAAAGGGAAGAGAGAGAGAGAGAGAGAGGGAGAGAGAAAGGATACTAGTCGACTCGAATGATAAATACGATCGAGACCGCAATATCCTGATCCGTGGTGAACATACTACACCTACGGTTGGCCGTGGTCGTTCAACAACTCGATATTGTAGCCTTCCTGTTACTCCTCACTCCTCCTTTTCCTCCCTACCTCTTATATTTAGCTCTCTCTCTCTCTCTCTCTCTCTCCCGGTTGTTCGTTCGCGCACGTTTCATTACACGTCACTAGGATTGAATTTTTTCCTACCCAGGTAGCCCCTTTGTAAAGATTCCCCTTTACGATTGGTTAATCAACTTTACTTAGAACAATATCGTAACGTTGCTTACATTATTTTTTTTTTAAACGCATCTCTGCGAAAGCAAAAAATGAAACAACATTTGAAATGAATTGATGTTTGATTTGTGAAATGATTATTTTGTTCGAATTAATCAAAACGAAGGAGAAAAAAAGAAAGACAGATAGAGATAGAGAGTAAATATGAGAAACGATACAAGCATAAACGAAGGAACGGTCATATGAGAAAAAAGTAACTACGATATCCGATCGGTAAAATGTATAGGACTTTTTATTCGGTCAATATAAGAGAAGAGGGGCACCCTTCCGAGATTATGAAACTGCCCTAACAGCAATATGGGAGCACCTATAGCCACCCCCTTCTTACTCCTGAACGTTTTCCACTACTACTACTACTACTACAACTACTACTACTATTACTTTCCATCCCCCATTCGCCACTCGGCCAAAACTCCGGACTATCCGTCGCGAGATATCCTGTCCAGCCGGACAGGGCTGGCGGGTGGTTTAATAAAAATGTCAAATATAAAGTAGCCGGCGGGGTCGGACATTTAAGAAATAAATAAATGTAAAAGAAGAAAATGGTTGGGGAGATGGAAGAAGAAGAAGAAGAAGAAGAAGAAGAAGAAGAAGTAGAAGAAGAAGTAGAAGAAGAAGAAGACCGAAATGGAGTGGAATGCAAAGTAATACGCGACTGCACGGGATAGAGAGGAACGAAAAAAGATAAAAAGGGAATTTGACGGAATCCCCTCTTCTCTCTCTCTCTCTCTCCCTCTCTCTCTGTCTCTTTCTTTTTAACTCGTTGGAAGACACGTGTGCTAGTGGACGACGTCCCGCGTATAATATTTCTATCTAGGTTAGGGGTAAAAGGATAAAAAGAAATAGAAGATTTTAGTACGTCCAACCCCTCCAACATGCGTATACTGAAATGCAGTGTACGCTTTTCAATTTCATGGACATTTTTTCGAAGAACACTCTTCGTTCGACCTTTACCCTTTTTTCAACTCGAAAATCGTGCGGTGAATTGGATAAAGGGAAAATGGAAACAAAGATAGGACTCGCAAATGATACACTCTCTATGGTTATTAATAATAGTTCAAGTGTTGTTGTTAGTTTAAACTTTAAGTTGTACATTATATAGATTTTTTTTTTTTTTTTTTTCAATAAAATATTCCACTCAACGATCGAGAAGTTTCGTTGACACGACAAAAAACAAAATTCATTTGCCTATAAGAGAAAAAGAGATAGAAAGAGAGAGAGAGAGAGAGAGAAAGGTGATGGGACAGTGAGCACCATTGCAATTTCGGGGTTTAATAATGATCCCAGCCGACGACTCGAGACTGCCTCCCGTGTCATTATACTATGAAGTGGAGAGGCTGCTAATTAGTCATTAGCGGAGGAAAAAGACAGCAAGCAACGGGTGCTGTGTAGGACGGGCAGCAACCCCATCCGTGTCGTCGTCGTCGTCGTCGTCGTCGTCGTCGTCGTCGTCGTCCTCGTCCTCGTCGTCGTAGTACAGGTAGTAGTAGTAGATATAGGCAAACTCGAGCAAACAGGGTGTAGCTTCTAGCCTACGTCTAATTGGACCCCGGCGACGTAAGTTTTACTAATTGAGACCTGGCATGTAACTATCAGCGGTCCACGAGAAGAGCTTCACTACACTATTTTATCATATCAAATTAATCTTTTATGATATAATGATATCTTATATACACGATCAAAAACATACCTTTTTTTGTTTCTATTCTTTCAATTCGATAATGTTTATATTATTAATTACCTTGCTAGTGAAATGTTTTAGTTAATCGATATCAACCGAAACATGCAAAGTGTATATTTGGTATAGGGGTGGGGTCCCATTCCCAAAGCCGAAAATAAGAATGCACGCGATAAAGCTCTCGACGTCGCGCATACCCAAGAAAGTACAAGTTACCTTACTCACAAATGTATGCAGTTTCTACCTTAATAGGTGGAATGGGGTTGGGGGGCTGTGGTGCGGGTGGTAGGGAATTGAAGGTAAAAAGGGGGTTACGAAGGGAGATATCAACGTGTATACCTTGCGGTCGAAAAGTTATTAGTTTCACTCGAGTAAGCGTGGAGCAGTTTACAAGCTATGACTAATTGGACCTCGGTAACGTACCTGCAAGTTCCGCTAATTGAGGCGGCCAGTTCGCTAACTACCAGAAGGGCTTTCGAAAATATAGGTATTCAACAGAAGAATACGGATTCCGAAATCGATCCGAACCGATATACGGTTACTCGATTCCCGTCGATTATAATTCGGAAAATTCATTAAATCCAATAAAGCATCTACGTCCACGTTAATTAGACTCCATTCAATAATATCGTGTGGTTGTAAGACGTTTCGAGTGAATTTCTTTTTTTTTTTTTTAAATGAGAAGTAGAAGAAGAAGAAGAAGAAGAAGAAGAAGAAACCTCGTGAAGATCATCGGGAAACGTGAAACCTCTCTTTCGCAATTAACTCTCCTCAGTAACGAAATTGCGACAGTCCTATATCTACAGATTAGTATGCGTATATATGTATGTATTCATGTACGTGTGTAAGAACCTTTAGTTGGAAGAGACATACAAGTTTGAACGGACGCATAACGAGCCCACCAGGGAACGACGAAGAGACGAGAGTAAAGAAGAGAGTTAAGAGGAAGGATAGTA